AATAGACAGACAGACAGACAGATAGATAGATAGATAGATAGATAGATAGATAGATAGATAGATAGATAGAATGGTTAAGTTGTAATTGCCAACTCACCAGCAGAGGGCTCCAGCAGATGCAAGAAGTGACCATAATGCCCACCAGCTGTGCCACCATCTCAATGTCATGTGATTTAGCCGATCTGCGGTGGCACTTCTTTCTGCGCAGACGGGCGTTCACCAGTGTCACCCCGCTGATGGTGTTGCAGACCAGTGCCACGGCCAGCGCGGCCAGTCCCAGTCCAGAAAACAGCAGCACAAATATCACGTCTGTGATGCTGGTATTGTCTAACACGTTTATGAAGCACCAGGTCCACGGGAACTGGTAGGTGTATGTTCCCAGGCGAAAGAAGGGCAGCAGCGCTACAGATAAAGCCAACAGCCATATCATCACCAGCACCATCTTGGTGTGGGCCATGCAAATTACACGGGCGTGCAGGAGAGGCTGCGTCACACCCATGCACCGCTCCGCCGCCATAACGCACCCCAGAAACAGCGGGCACAGGCCGAAGAACACCATGCTGCCGCCCAGGAAATGGCAGGTGGCATCGGGTTGGTAACAAAGTCCTCCAGCGGTGCCAGACATGTAGAGATGCAGAACCAGGGCACCTGGAATAACATGACCGGCAAGGTCCGTAGCCACCAGAGAGCTGGCGAACAGCAGGAATGTTGCTTTGGAGCGCTTCCGCAGACGAGCGTACGCTTTAACCAGGATGATCAGTGCTACGATGTTGGACACGATGCCCAGGGTCATGGACAGGCCCGCTGCCGTGGGGTCGGTTGTGATGTTCAGGTTTTCCCTGCAGCACACCGGTGCCACTCCAGGCACCTGCTGGGTCTGATTGCTGAACCCTTCATTCACATCCAGGGCTGAACTGTTGTAGTGTTGGACAGCTAACATCTCCAGGCTATGGGATGAGCACCACTGAGCTTAGAGATACATATCTACAGAGAAAAGAGCATAGAAGTGTGTTTATGAGAACGGGGCATTTAAAGCTGAGATTAAGAACTCTAACGGTTCTTTAGCAAACAAGCTGTAAATCAAATATGTAAAAATAGGAAAGCTCTGCTTATTTTGGCTGCAAAGTTAGTCAATTTGGGACAATTTACTCAGTTAACAAGCAAGTGATCACAGCCCTTCCTGTTTTTTTCCTTGTTTATGTACAAACATTCAATGAGGGAAATTATGTCCAGAGGTCTGAAATGATACACCGACACATTTCAGAAAACTTTAGTGAATAGGACCATTGTTTTTGCACAATTTCCTCTCCAGGGTACATGAGAAAGCAAAAAACGCGCAGTACAAATTTCAACACTTCTGACCATTCACCACTGTAATAAGAAGAACTAGACAACTGTTTGAAGATAACAAGATATATATAAAAAAAAAAAACAGAAAAAAAGAAATACACAAAAGTATAAACAATGTTTAAATGCTTTTCCAGAAAACCTAAAAATGTCTAAATCAACTAGTTACCAACCTGATTACATTAATGAGCCAGATAAAGTAGATTATATTCGAAGAGCTTATTTGCAAAAACAGATAACTCCATTTTTTTTAAAGTTTTCAAAAATCATGTTTTGTTTTTTTTAGGCTATGTTATCATATTTGTATTGTGTTAGTTAGCTGCATTTTTTAAAGTTATTTTTTTAACCTAATCAAAATAACCCAACCGCATTTTGATTGAGATTATTGGAATGCACAATGAAAAAACATAATTTTTGAAAATTGTTAAAAACGGACTCATCTCTTTTTGTGTGTGTAGCCTATGTGTTAAAAATGTATGTATCACAGCAATTTGAATAACTACACTGTTTCTTTTACTTTTTTCTGCTACATTAATATTTTATTTGCTCTGTCACTTATTCATATATTTTGGAGTAGCCTATATCGCAAATCTTTTTCTAGTCTATCAAAAGTCTATTTCAATAGGTAAATATTCAAAATATTTACCATAAAGGCGATATCAGACTCCCCTCATCCGTTTAGTCCGGAGTCTTCTTACTTTTTCCCGATAACAAAAAACGTATTCCAGTTCGACTAAAAGTGTCTTTGCAGTCTAAATATTGATGTTCAGTAGTGTTAGTGGTATTGTGGTCTTCATTGTCTAAGAAAACATCATGTAAAGGTGTATAAAGCAGATAAAGCACGCAGAGCACGCGGCGGACTGTGGAGTGACCCGCGCGCGCTGCTGTATTTATAGCTCTCAGTGCGCTGTAAATAATGACGCGTCACCGTGTCTCACAGCAAAGTGAGCGCGTCTGCATGCGCCTAGTGTTTGACGCGTCGTGGACGCGTGTAACATTTTAAACATCACGAGCTCGTACAGTAGCCTATGTGCTTACGCATAGATGATTCTCAGTTATTCTTTTTAGGTAGGCAGCGCATCACTTTTAATCATCATTGACGCGTTGTAGCAGTTATTGACATCCTGGATAATAACATATAGACATGATATTTTGGAGTAATCTGCACACACCTATGATGCCCGGAAATTATGCAATCTAGCACACAAGGTTTTGAGACACATTAAGCTTGGCAAGTGAATGGACAGGGCGCCATGGACCTGCCAGCAGAAAATATATAGTGTCAAATGTGAAATCAATAAGCAGCATTTTAATTACTCATTATAATTTACAGCTCAGTCTTTTAGTTTAACGTCATAGGATTTAATAAGCAGATAAAGTCCAATTTTGCATGGATTTTTTTTTCTGAGTCCTGGATTTGACAGGTCTGGGATGGGACCAGACATGGAACCAGATTTATAAAATGTTCTTAAAGGGATAGTTCACCCAACACTGAAAATGACCCTGTACTTTACTCACCCTCAAACCATAGGTGTATATTCAATTCAATTCAATTCAAGTTTATTTGTACAGCGCTTTTCACGATACAAATCATTGCAAAGCAACTTTACAGCAAATTAAGTTTCTACAATATTTAGTTGTAGCTTATCAGTGGTGACTGTCAGTTAATGTACATATGGCAGAAATGTACGGAATGTCCTGGCTCTTCCAAGCTTTATAATGGCAGCTTTATAATAGCAGTGAATGGGTGTTGAGATTTTAAAACAAAATAAAGGGCATCCATCCATTATAAAAAGTGCTCCACATGACTCCAGGGGGTTAATGAAAGCCTTCTGAAGTGAAGCGATGCATTTATGTAATAAAAAGATATGCATATTTAAAACTTTCTAACTGTCATACACATGTTCATGAAAGAGTGGCTTTCAGCGGATGGTGTAGGATGTAGGAATCAGTGTTCAGCTGTACATATGGGAAGCAATACACACCAAAAGTGGGACGAAACAGCACGGTGTGACCTGTCATTAGCGCGGCTCAATGGGCCGAGCTGTGTGACCACGCTACCGAACGAACAGCGCAGCACGAACTAATCTTACAAGTGTGGTGCTGATCAATTAAAATACTTCGATAACGTATGCATAAAAACACAGTTAAAACGCTAAGCACTGTAACGACATGGCATTCAGAAAGCAGTCTGGAGTGAAATGATTTGCGCAGACATAAACGTATTTAGGTCGATTTTGAGGTGCATTGCCTTGAAAAATAAAAGTATCCTACAGCATCCTCAGCAGCTCATGTTGGGAGAAAATGAATCTTATGTTCAGTCTTATATCCAAACACAGAGAACTGGGATTGTTTACGAGACATTGTTGACGTTACAGCTGCTGGAGCGCGGAGAAAATGGAGGACAGCGTACAACCGCTGAGGGCGGAAACTACGGTAATACAGGACTGTCAGCCAACGGCCATGGGCGGGGCCTAAACAATGTGATGTCATATTGCATAGAGAATTAAAACAGCATGCCTAGTGAGACTAACTTGGTTTAATGGGGATTAAAAAATAAGTAGTGGGTGTATTTTATATCATTGTAGGGTGGTTGTGTTCACACACTGCCAACACACATTTAGGTCCAAACACAATGTAAAAGTGGATTTTGCATAATAGGTGCTCTTTAACAATGACATTTTTAAAAGCTATTTTTTATTACTTTCTAACTTAAAAAAGTAGGAATATTTTGTATTCTTCTCTTTTCTGAAAATTGTCTTTAAGACAAAACTTTTGTAGAGTTAAAATTCTCAAAAAGAATCTTCTTAAATATCATAAATTCTCAGTTACACTGAAAAAACTGTAGAGAAAAAATTCACTCAGAAATTGCTATTAAAATTCACAATTTAAAAAAATGGTAACACATTATTTAAACATTAATTTTTTTAAGTAGAAAGACTAAAATAGTATTTTCTTGTAAAACATACTTTTAAAGTTTCATTTATAACGTTTTATTTGCAAAATTTCAAAAGATATTTTTTTACAGTGTAATAACTCCCAACTTGTCTTAAAACCCCAAAGGTAAGACATTTATGAATTTATTGAGTTGTTTCAGATTAACTGTCCATCAGTTAATCTTCAGCAAGAATTTTGAGAATATATGAGAACTTCTAAAGAACTTTTCAAAAACTGAACTTAGAACATTCTTACAATGTCTTAGAATGTATCTTTTGACATTTCTTATAACTTCTGTGACTGTCTTAAGAAGATTTCCGGCCCCATGAATCCGGCCCCACTGGTTCCAAGGACATGGGGAGGGAAGAGGAAGAAAGAGTATGTCAGAGGTACTTTTTAAACATTTCTTTCATGACCATAAAAGAACAATTCCTAACAGATTTAAAAAGTACCAAGGGATGTAGGCTATACAAAACTTCCTGCACACATAAAGAAAAAAAATCTCTAATTACTGAAGAGTACAGCAGCTGGCCATAACTGGATGAGAGCAATCAAGAGAACCTAACAAAAGACCTTTTCACGTTACTCCTGCTGGTACTGACCTTTTTTCCCAACCAGCCTAATTTGGCACTAAATGGAAAGGCACAACAAATAGCGGCCCATCACGACTGAAAAGGTTGGTCGGTCTTGTGTCATCTCCTTTAAACACTCTGAGGAGGAAATAATCACATGATGGCAATGTTGAATACCTCTCTCTCTCTCTCTCTCTCTCTCTCTCTATATATACAGTGCCTTGCGAAAGTATTCATACCCCTTCATTTTTTTACATTTTGTAATGTTGCTGCCTTATGATTGTCAGACTCTGTTCCATGTTTTGTGTGTGTCCTGCTCCCCATGTGCCTTCCCATGCCCTTATTTGGTTAGTTTCCTGTTCCTGTCCTGATTAGTTTATTTCATTTGTCCCAGGTGTTTCCCTTGATGTTTCATTTGTGCAACGTGACAATGATAAACTTTAATTACTAAAATTACTTTTTTTCCACATCAATCTATACTCCATAGACCATAAAGACAAAGCAAAAACGGAACTGTCACAACTTCGTAAACTTATTAAAAATAAAAAACTGAAATAAGTACATTGTATAAGTCAAGTCACCTTTATTTATATAGCGCTTTTAACAATACAGATTGTGTCAAAGCAACTGAACAGCAT